CTGCTTGACAATCCCATTTTGCACTGCAACAATAAAACTGAAGTGAGATAAACAAGCTGAGAAATGTTTCTTTTTAGTTAAAACAGATGTTGTCAAAGTTTTCCTTTGGAGACATAATTTGAAGTTGGAAAAAGGTAATAAATTGCGCAGTCAGGCCCCATATGAGATTCATATGGGCTAATTCAGATGGGGCCCACATGGAACCCATGGACAAACCCATGTAGGGCCCATATTTACAGCCCATATGGGGCCCATGATAGAATGTTGGCTGGGAACATATGTTTAGGGTGGCCATATGTGCCATTTATACGGGACACGTCCTGGCCAGGATTTTTATATTGCCTAAAACATAAAACTAGTTTGACCAATAACATGCAGGTATTGTACATAATCGACCAATCGTGGCGCATCGCGCGTGAGAAGGTGAGAACGATCAAAGCGACGCAATTATGCGCACGTGTTCGTTTGTTCGATTATTGTATGACACCAAAGTACCGCAAGAGCAATTTAAAAGCATAAGGAGCTGTCTGCTCTGCTCTATAGCTCTCCAGAAATAATGTCATACAACGATCGATCTGCACAGTGCAAACAGCCAAAACCTGGATATTTTAGGCAATATAGAAATCCTGGCAAGGGTGCGTCCTGTAAAAATGGCCCGGATGGTCACCCTACATAGATTAGTGTTTTAAAGAGCCTCATCCAATCCTAAGAGATTTTAAGGTGTTTTACAGGTCCTAATTGTCCCTCATCTCTTGGGACCCCCAGTGGGAAGAGGGGGATGAGGGTGAGCGCTCAGGAACAGCCGTGTCTGAATCAGCATTCCTCCTGTTAGAGACGAGTGGACTCTGCCCCGCTGAACCTCACGCTCGCTTGATCTGCTCTTCACAGGAATCACACGTCTCACCCTCTTCTTCATCCTGATTGCACTCCTCCTGCTGCTTTTCTCTCTCATGCCTCAGTGACCCCGAGGCCCCAGAGGGCCAAAGTCAATCAAGGTATCACGTCAAACTAAAACTCACGGCTAATTAAAGCTTTTTAGGTGCGGTCTTTGCTTTTGCCGTTCAGATATTTAGAGTTACTTTCCCACAGATGATCAGTTTTTCAATAATAACAACAGCATATTAGGATATGTTAATGAACATTTTAAAAAAAGATTTTAAAAGTCTTGGCATTTAAGTGTTGATAAGTTGCACACAAGCTAAATTATATAAACTGGGTAGTAACTTATTACATGCACTGTAAATAGGTTGCTGTAAATTCTACAGTAACTTACTGTACATATTACAGTAAAATACTGTAAAAATCGGTTACAGTGTGCAATCTGTAAAAATGAAGTATGTGTAATTAATGTTCTAAAATGCTCATAATCCGATTACAGTCACTTTTTTAGTGATTACATGTTATTCACATAGTAAGTTATTTATAATTCTTTCTGATTTCTCTTTTAATATTTAATATTTACTTTAATGTTTGAACCAGATGCTAATTTTAAAACTTCTTTTTTTTTAAATCAGTTTTTTTATTTCTAATTATTTGTTTTTGTATTCTTCTTCTTATTATAAAATTTTTTTATTATATGTAATAGTTATATAAACAACTGTTTTGTCTATTAAAAAGTTTCAATAAAAACACAGTTCAAAACACCTACTTACATAAGTTCGCAAAATCTTCTAGTTTTGCAGAATCATGCACACAAACCAGCCACCAGTCGGGAGGCTACAATTACACGGAAAATGGAGAGAGGCCACACAGCATCTTGACCACTGGATTTAAAGAAAGCATTTTACTGTTAATGAGACATTACTGTACAGTATAAAGGCAGCACTCGATTAGAATATGTATGAGAAAACAATTTTTATGCCAGTTACTAAACACTGGTAATGTATAGCTGTGAAACATTGTCTTCATCATATCCAGTGACCTTCACTAATGATTGATTCTGGATGTCTAGGGGGAGAAAAAATCCAAACCTGGAAGACTGTGTGTAAGGTCATTTCCATGTTTCTATGTTTATTAATGTTTGTTCACGTCATGTAGGAATTCCCAAACTTTTTTGTCACCTGAACCACTTAAAAAATATTTACGTGAAGTCCTCCTGAGATTTTAGGCTAACATTTCAATCATTTCTACACATTCAGATGTTCACAGCTCACTGATGTCAGTTTACACACCAGTTTAGTCACACCGACGTCCAGGTAAAGAAATGCAATAATTAATCTTCTTAAGAGTTCAAATATTTTGTTTAGATTGTTTTCATTTAAAATTATTTATTTTAATGACATTTTTATGATTGATTTATTAGCTTTTTATCATGTCATGAACCTTGGTTTGGGAAACCCTAATGTAATTTAATGTTTAACGTACTTCATATTTTTATAACAAATATATATGTGTGTATGTGTGTGAGTGTGTGTATGTGTTTGTGTATGTGTGTGTGTCTGTGTGTGTGTGTGTATGTGTCTGTGTGTGTATGTGTGTGTTTGTGTGTGTGTGTGTGTGTGTGTGTGTGTGTGTGTGTGTGTGTGTGTGTGTGTGTATATGTGTATGTGTATGTGTGTGTGTATGTGTGTGTGTTTGTGAATGTGTGTGTGTGTGTGTATGTATGTGTGTATGTGTGTATATGTGTGTGTGTGTATGCATGCGCATACATACATACATATATATATATATATATATATATATGTATATATGGGGCAAAGACGAAAAAGGGTTTAAACAAAAACAATACTGCTTTAAACTGTTGTTTTTCCAAAAAGAAAAAAAAGAACAATTAAAAAGTTTTGTTTCATGTAATTGTATTTTTGTTTTTCTGAGCAAAAAATAAATATCATACATTTTCCCCTGATTTACAGAAGACACCCACTAAAATGTCATGCAGTGTAACACTCTTG